ATGACCATAGACGTCCTTACCATTTGCAACCTGTGCAAGGACTACAGCCAGCGGACGGAGAACGAAGAATCACATTTGTCAGTGGATTCTTGATAGAACTGATAATAATAGGGAGTTTTTAAGTAACGTTTTATGGACCGATGAGTCATGCTTCACTAGACGTGGAGTGGTACATTTTCATAATCAACATATTTGGTCGCATGAAAATCCGTATGCAGTTCGGGAAAGAAATTTTCAGCATGAATTTAGTGTGAACGTGTGGATTGGTATCTACCGTAATCGACTAATAATACCCTATCTTTTGCCTGCAAGGTTAAATGCTGCGACCTTCTTGGAATTTTTAAAGGCTGAACATGCAAATATGTGGGATGATGTTATGCTAGATTTAAAAACATTGGCCTGGTTCCAGCTTGATGGTTGTCCACCTCATTATTCGAGAATAGTTAGAAACTGGCTGGACGAAAATTATCCAGAAAGATGGATCGGCCGTGGAGGACCAGTCGCCTGGCCTCCACGATCCCCTGACCTAAATCCATTAGAATTCTTTGTGTGGGGATTTCTAAAAGAAAAAGTGTACCAGACTCCCGTAACCACAAGAGATATGCTAATAGACAGCATCAGGAATGCATGTGATGAAATAAGGCCTTATTTGAATAATGCTATACCACGTTCGATCATTCGTAGATGTGAATTGTGTATTGAACAATTGGGTTTACATTTCGAGCAACTACTTTAGATTTTGTATGTTTCTCCCAACTATCCAATAGCATTTTAGTTGTAAATAATTGATTTAATTTGTTAAAAATAATATTGGAAAATTAAACAAACTATTATTCTATTTTTTTGTGTTTATTTGGAGTTAGGAATTATTGCTGTGTTTAAAAACACAATCTAAACGATCATCTTATTTACTTGTAATGCCCAAATCGAAAATGTAAAGAAAATGTTATATTCCCATAAATAATTAAACATGCACGAACCTTAAGAATCGAAATATCTGAAAAACGGCTAACTATAACGAAAACTGGCAGGAGAGCTTTTTTATGTTGAAAAGTGCGAAGAATCAGTTTTTTTATTCAAAAAGCAAAAAAATGCAAGAAGAAAAAAGTTTCGGTCATTTTAATACACTACAGGTACAGTAGAGAGCGCCCTCTAGCGGCTACAGTAAAACTATGCCCATGGTTCGTTTTGTCGTACCAAAAAACCCTTGTGTACCAATTTTCACTGTTATTCATCAAATATTGTTCGAAATATTTAAAAAAAACTATTTTAGAAAGTAAATTTAAACACCCTGTATTTCGGAAGCCACGCATTTTTCGACCCATGTTTATATAGAGTGTATGCATTAATTTTAAAAGTTCTATCGAATCTTAAAGTTATGCAACAATAAACTGAAACACCCTGTACAGCGTGGAAACCTTGGGCGTACTAAACTAAATAAGTAAATAACGTACTGCCACGCCGTTTTTTGGTTGATTAATAAAACACAATGATAAATACTATCTAACGGCTGCTCCAAACAAAACAGTTGCCTAGTGGCGTGCAAATTTAAAATTTAGGCGCTGGGTCAATAAAGCGGAGAGTAGGGGGGGGGGGTTAAGAGCGCCAGCGACTTAGGACGGATTAAGCCACAACTCCCCGAGACGTTTGTTGGAACTTATTTTGCTTGACCGCCACACAAAAGGAGAATCTAACAGAGATGACGAAATTTAAGCAACAGTACGTACAGAGAGAGTCAAATAAACAAGATATTAAATGAATCATAATATATTGATTAATAAAAAAACGCACATGTGCTCCAATACTGGAGTGCGAGTAATAAAAAAAGAAAGGATGTTATAAATCTTAAATACAACTTGACAAAGTTATTTTTCGAAATAACCCCGCGAAACGTCTACCATGGTATACGTCCGAAGTATTTACAGGTATTTTGCGCCTAAATATTAAACTTATCTGTAGGACTTCTTTGTCAGGCGCGGCCGAGATGTCCTGAACTCTGGTCAAAAAGTGGCCAATAGTGGGCACGTCACTGGGCAGGGGCTGCTTGCCTCGTTGCCAAAAATTATGCTGGTAGAGAGAAAGACTGTTTAAAAATCTACTCTACTCTCTGCCTGAGATAAAACTACTCATTGAAAACAATCGCACTTGAAGTAGAACCATGTACATTTTTTTGTACAAGAAAAGTAAAGCAAAAAAAAAATATAAAAATGTACTAAACTAATATACCCTTGTTCTAAAAAGTTATGGCAGCTCAAAAATGAAAATCATGATCAATGTAATAGAAGATGTCATGTAGGCACTGATCCCATATTTGAATACGTAGAATGTCCAATAAAATCAATAAGTCTCTAAGAATTTCAATAACCAATAATAAATGTATAAAGATCTATGAAATTGTTGATTAGAATGATATTTTACCTGTTCAAATCAGGGTTTTTTTTCAAGGGGATGGCTTCCACCAATTTGCAAAACTGCAACAAGATACAACCAACTGGAGGAGAAAGGATGATGATTCTCTTCTGTTTCTATTGACTAAAAGAAAGCAGATATTGAACGAATGTCATCAGGACACGCATTAAGGCACGTGGTCCGAAGGTACAGGGTGGCGCAGAGGAAACGCATGTTTTCTGACCGAATGGTATTTCGCACAGAATAGGGATATGACCTCGCCGCACCGCCAGCAGAGAACACATGCGATGCAGTTTCAGCCATGGCACCGTGGATGACGGAGCATCGTGTGTTTGCCGTCGAGCAATTTTTTCGAAACGATGATTCTGTAGTGATCGTGCAACGTTTATTCCGTCGACAGTTCAATGTTGAACGCCACGGGCCAATTCCAGATCGAAACACAATACTCCGATGGGTTGAAGCATTTCGAAGTACTGGATCCGTAATGAAGAGGAAGCCACCTGGCCTTCCCCGTACCGTGCGGACTCCAGGCAATATCGAAACAGTGAGAAGAGCGGTACTTGATAGTCCCCAACGGTCCACTAGGCGCCAAGCTCCAACTCTGCGTATGTCCCGTCGGTCGTTACAACGCATTCTGCATGACGATTTACAATATCATCGGTACAAGATAATGATCGTGCAAGAGCTAACGGAAAGCGATTTTGCACAGCGTAGAGAATTTTGTGCGAGAATGCGGGCCATTTTTGCTGACGATCCTGACGTCGTCATAATGATGAGTGACGAAGCACACTTCCATTTAACAGGATATGTAAATAAGCAGAACTGTAGGTATTGGGCGGCCGAAAATCCATGAGAGCTACACCAACGACCCTTGCATAGTCAAAAATTAACTGTGTGGTGCGGAATCAGTAAATTAGGTATCGTTGGTCCTTACTTTGTTGAAGAGGAAGAAAGAGCAGTAACAGTTACTTCAGCACGTTATGTTCACATGTTACAAAATTTTCTGTTAGCCGAACTTCAACGGCAACAAGTAAACATGGGAGAGCTGTGGTTCCAACAAGACGGTGCCACAGCTCACACAGCGAGAGCATCAATGGAATGGATTCGACAGATGTTTCCTGAACATGTGATTTCCCGTTTCGGCGATGTCCCTTGGCCCCCACGCTCCCCAGATTTGTCCGCATGCGACTTCTTTTTGTGGGGTTACCTTAAGGATAAAGTGTACCCTCACAAGCCTCGTACGTTACAGGAACTGAAAATTGCTATTCGTCAAGAAATTGTAAGAATACCACAAGAAATGATTTTACGTGTAATGCACAACTTTCAAGAGCGGTTGGAGATGTGCGAGCGCGAAGCAGGGCGACACTTGAGTGACGTTATTTACCATCATTAGTTTAAAAGTGCACTATCATTACTTTATTTAGCTGTAACTGAAACAAAGTTATCTTGAAAATAAAAAATGTTATGCTTAGGTGAAAATCGTGCGTTTCCTCTGCGCCACCCTGTATATAAAAAAGAACTTACCGCTGAGAGTCAAAATCCTATAAAAAAAAATGGAAGACGTAGCACCTAAACCAACATTACTAAGGCCCGTATCGTCAGTCGTCCCTACAATTGAATCGGTGAGTTCGAAAACCGTACATGTCCAAAATTTGACATTTTGAAGTAAGACGGCCATTTTGCTTAAAATATATGTTTTCATCGATTGAGGATAAAAGCCGTACTAAATACTTAGCCGCTGATGCAGTACAGCTGATTCCATTCGTGAAATGAGAAGATAAACCGTACATGTCCGCGACTAGTACGTTTCTCAATCTCAACGACAAAGCATTGGGCATTTGTTTGTTTATTAGCACAGTGGTCGCTTCGTGTGTATGTGTGTTGTTAAAAACAGCTCCATATTTTCAATTTTCCTACGCTTTAAATTAAAATTATGTCATCCAGTGATAGTGAAGGGCAAAATAATACTAGTGCTGATAGCAGAAAAAGAAAAAGACATGTTGCTAGTTGGAATCACAACAAAGTAAAAACAGCACGCTTGCAAGGACAGTCATATGTTTCTAAAAAAGGAAAACATGTTATGGCAACGACTATAGGACCAGAGTGTAGGTAAGTTATTACGTTTTAAAAAGGTCGGATTGAGTTTCATTGTATTTGTTTTATTTTTCAGCTGTAGAAAAAAATGCATGCAGCAGTTTACTGAGGAAGATAAAAAGAGATTTTATCCAAGTTACTCAGCGGTTCGTCGAAAAACGAGCAAGACACGTATCTACAGGGACTCATGGAAGTAAAATCAATCCAAAGACATCGCAAAAGAAGTTCAGAAGGTAAGCAAGAAAGAAAATCTAACTTTATTTACTTTGTTAGGAAAGGCTCAAATCGCAATCTCATATCGCATTGGCAAGTTCAACGTCTGAATACTCTGCGTTTGGCTGCCAAATGTCCAAGGGACTTGAGAGGCAAGCATAATAACCGACCTCGCACCATATGCGATGAATGGACTCAGAAAATTAAAGAGCACATTGAGGCATTCCCAGTAAAAGTTTCCCATTGTTGCTCTAAAAATATTCGTTATTTAGATGCATCTGTAGATGTTAAGAAAATGCGAAAAATATCCAGATCTCGAAAACTTTGTTAAATATGAATTCTATCTCAAATATTTCAATGAAAACTTCAATCTTAGATTTGGAAGACCACAGGTTGACGCATGCTCGGAGTGTGAACGATATGGTACGAGACTTAAAGACGCTAACCTTAATGAGAACGCAAAGCGAGAAACTGCTGCAGAATTAATGGTCCATAAAAGACGGGCAAAGAAATTTTATAACAAAATCAAACAAGTGCAAGCTTTGTGTTCGGAACAACCAGAAGTAATGGGGCTTGCTTTTGATTACATGCAAAATATGCCACTACCGCATATTCCTGTCCAAGATATTTTTTATTTGAGACAGCTCTGGGTATTTGCATTCCAAATCCACAATCTTAAAGACAATAATGGTCATTTCTATACCTATCATGAGGGGCTAGGTCAAAAAGGGCCTAATGAAGTATGCACGTTCCTTAACGACTACATAATGAATCATGTACCTTCCAATATTACTGAGCTTCACTTGTTTTCTGATGGATGTGCAGGGCAGAACCGAAACCAAACTATGGTCCGTTTTCTCCTAGGATTACAAGCAACTAAGAGATTCACTAAAATATATCATTACTTCCCGATAAGAGGACATTCGTTCTTACCCTGCGACCGGGATTTTGGCTGCGCAAAACGGAATTTCAGAAAAAATGATAGAATCTATACTCCAGAAGAATATGAAGACTTGATAGTAACTTCCAGAAAGAAGCAACCATTCACTGTAAAACAAATAAGATAACTGATATTATTGATTTTAAAAAATGGTGGCCTGACTACTATAAAAAAACGTGTAGTACTTCAACACGAGGTGCTGCTTCCAAGAAAGGAGTTTTTGCTGTTTCCAACTACAGACAGTTTCTATATGAAAGTTCAAATCCTGTATATGTTACAACATGGGAATTTATAGATGGTTTACACTCCCACACCTTTAAGCTACTGAAAGAACATAAACAAAATCCACCTCTGCCCAATGACAGGGCATATAAAGAACCTATCCTCGTCAACGAAAAGAAGATCTTGGACATCAAAAAAGTCATGTGTCATACTCATGGTGAAATAACCATATAACATTATGGAAAACAACAAATATGGAAAACGATGATTAAATGGTCGACCTAACAGTTTTGATATTGAATTTTTGTTCTGACGTAAACTAATGATAAATAAATTGGATAAATGCTCATGTGTTTTTTTTGATTTGCAGAATGACTTTATAAACCGTACAAGTCCATGAGATGTTTCTATCTGGTATTGCTAAACCATTTTATATTCGGAAAAACTATTATTATATACACATGGCAAACCTTTAGATCTAAAACTTTTGTATATATTTCAAATTTCTATATCAAGTAGTTTTCGAGTTGGAATGTTTTTATCGATTATCTCAGAACGATGATTTTGGACTTGTACGGTCTTCGAACTCACCGATTCAATTGTAGGGCGCATTTATGGCGTCCTTGATTGTCATACTCCTTTCTCTCCTTCAAAAATTTCTAGATTACACTTGTCCCGTGTCAGCGTCAGCGCTCACCTATTGTGAAGATATGTTTTTTTTTTAAATTGCAGGAAATTTCAGGCTGATAAAACATAATATAACTCAGAAGCAAGCACAATTTGATGCAAATAGATGTTTGTGACATAACCTCAAAATAGAGTTCTGACACGGAGAAGTAGGAAACTATGACAATCAAGGAGGCCATAAAGGCGCCCTACAATTGTAGGGACGACTGACGATACGGGCCTAAACTTAAGTTACACAAAAAAAGGGTGCTAGTTCATGAATTGGCGCTTGGGGCCTAATATCGCAGAGTCCGGTAAATGACGAAACGATCTCTGCACCACGACCTCAACAGAAACAGAAAAGCGAAGCATGCCGAACACGTCACGTTCTAGAAGAAGGTATCTTGAGTGGCCTTGAAGAAGAAATGTTTTATAGGAAACCAACTAACAGAGTATTTTGGTGATCGTCAGCACCATGCTGAATCGCTGAGAAGGAAAGATATAATAGGAGTGAAATTACACAATCAATAAACTATTAAATTTGCCAAAAGAAAATCATTGAAAGGGGTTTCGCCTAGGAATGGGCACTCTATTATCAATGAAGAGAAATTCAAATTACGGATAAGTGGTAAATAGTAAACAAAAGTGGTTACGTGATTTTGGCACATGACAGTACATCTAGAGAAGATGCGTTGTTACTAAGAACGGATTTTAACTACAACAGATGTACTGCATTAGCTGGTTCTAATGCATATACTTCACAAAGCACTCTCTCAACTAAACCGCTCCGGAATGTCAGCCTCTACTAGTTTCCTAGGTGATGATCAAACGGGAATCTCAGGAACTACCCGCACATTCCTTAAGGCTCATCTATTTCCCTATCTCGCACTGGATTATCTCGCTTTATACATAGTAGAGGCGTAATAAATTTAGCTAAATGAAGTTGTTGGTGTAATTCACTTAACATATATTCGGATTATGCTGGTTCGCAACTCCTTTGTTCTTCGGTACGTTTTCGTGTATTAGGATACCGACTGTTGTATCCTCGTCTGTTAGAGAGAGAACAGGGATCCAAATTCTTGGGTAGCTTTAGTCGAGGGTCCTGAAGATCCACAGCTGCAATTAAATGCAGAACGAGCATTCGGTGTTGATACTTGTGGCAACTATTTGGGAGTGGGGGTATATTATTTTAAGGTCACAAGAGCCCATGAGCTATCAGGCAAACTCACTTAACCAAATTCAGCTTGATGAATCGACAAATGTATCGGCACCTAAGGTGACAGAAGTATATTTCTAATTAGTAATAACAACATTTTAAGTGTCTTATCGTACCTCATCAATACTTGCACAGACAAAGCTATATTCCCTGATGCACTAAAAACAGCACTAGTAAAGCGACTACATAAATCTGGAGAAAAGACACAAACTTCCAATTATAGACCAATCTCACTACTAAGCATTTTCTCAAAGATTTTTGAAAAAGTTTTAAAGGCCCGTTTTACTAATTTTATTGCTAAATATAGACTTCTATCTAAGCAGCAATATGGTTTCCAAGAAGGAAAATCCACGCAAGGTGCAATTGCAGATTTGATGGAAAACGTGTATACCAGTCTAGACTCAGGAAACCCATCGGCCTGTGTCTTTATAGATTTAAAGAAGGCATTTGATACAGTTGAACACAAAGAATTACTAACTACTTTGGAGAATCTAGGATTTCGTGGCAATACACATACTTTACTCAAAAGCTACCTTTCAGATAGGAATCAATGTGTAAAAGTTAATAATTCCATCAGCGACTTGCATCATGTAACATACGGTATCCCACAAGGTACAGTTTTAGGACCTATCCTGTTCAACCTATATGTAAATGATCTTTTTAACCTACACACACACGGTAAAATTATCGGGTTCGCAGATGATACGGCTGTTTTTTATAGCGAAAAATCTTGGGATATCTTAAAGACTAAGAGGATTTCAGAGTCATTATAAGCTTCTTCAATAATAAAATATTAACAATCAATTATGAAAAAACTTTATATCTGACTTTTTCATGTGATGATAGGAACAGTCCCACATTCACTAACATACACATCAAATTACCACCCATAGATGAAGTAGTGGTCCTAAAGCCAGCAAATCATATAAAATACCTAGGAATCATAATAGACAGCCACCTAAAATGGGACAAACAAATAGGAAGCTTAACGAAGAGATTGAGATGTCTTATACCAAAATTTAAATTTTTTAGGGAAATTCTTTCTGATAAAGACTTATGCACCATATACAAAACGTTAGTACAACCGTTGTTAACTTATGGAATTTTGGCATGGGGACCGGTGTTGAATAAATACTACAGGAAAGTAGAAATAACTCAGCAATGGATTCTTAAAATCATGTTCCGCAAAACACCTATCCAACCGATATGATATATAAGGTATCCAAGATATGTGACTGTAGGCAACTTTATTTTGAGAGTGTGTTCACATATATTACAAAACATAAGCATTTATTAAATTTCCTCCCACATGACCATCACACCAGATCCAAAGATCATTCAGTACGCATACCAAAGCCTAAAAAGACCATAGGTCAGAGGAGTTTCACTTTCCTAGTACCAAAAATATATAACTTAATCCCCCCTCAGATAAAAGATATTAAAAATACAAAGGTTATGAAAAAGCATCTAAGACTGTGGATTTTGGATCAGCATAGGCTCAAGATTCATCAAGCGATTGATATCAAAAATATCTACTACTACTGAAAGCGGAAATCTCTCTCAGGATTATTGAAAGTTCAAAATGAAAAAAAAATGTATAAATCAAACTGATTTGAATTCTTACCTCCTGAATTATTGCATTTTATGAATTATTTTTACCAATTTTTGTTCTTGTCTATTCACCTAATATTGTCTTTTGTTTCAATATTGTCTCTATCCCGATTGCGTCTACGTCCCGATTTTGCGTCTCCGTCCCGATTGTGTCTTTTTAAAAATTTTACCAGGACTTGTCTAATAAATTTTATATACATATATTTTTTTTTGTTTTTTTTTTAGTCTTAAGTTATTTATACATGAGCTCATGCCCAATTACAAGTTTCTGCGAAACTTTTTTGGGTCCATTCGTTTATTGTATAATATTGTCTTTCATCTACTACTGCTATACTGTTTCTTTTGCAATAAACTTTATTATTATTATTGTTATTAATAATTATGAACTTGAGTCAAGCTTAAGTTAAGTATTGGATATACTGAGTGACTTCAGCAGTATTACAACCAGAAAAAATAGTTTCTTCAACTTGATTTTTTGGCAATGATCAAGAATGAAACGATAACATTCTCACGAAACTTTATTGACAAGTAATACGGAAAAAAAAACTAATAATGTGTTGGGCGACCCCGCAGCTGGATACACATCTGTGTACGTCTAGGCATCGACAAAATGAGAAGATCGGTGTCTTGTTGTGGCGCCTCGTTCCAAATGTCCAATGTCCAAACAAAAGTAAATTTGTACAAAAATACGTGCACCACAAGGGATGACAACGAGTTCATCCACAAAGGACTATCTGTTTGCCAACACCACATTTATCTCTGACTAAATAAGATGTGCACTTGTTTAGACGTCATCAGCGATTTTGTGGGCGCCATGTTCTTGGAGTCGTTTTTGATCTCTAATTTTATTCGTCTTCTGTCTTGTGTCTTCTCTGTATACAGAGCATCAGGAGTATTCCTACCGATTCAGCGATTTGGATAATGTTCATACAAATATTGAATGACGCCTCTAAAAATGTGTGGTGGTGCCCCGTCATGAAGAAACCACAAATTCTGTCTCCGTTTTAATGACATATTGTATAAGGTCTGTTCCAAAGGTTCTGGTAGGTTATTGGCTAGAAAGATAAGGTATCCTTCAGTTGACAACTTTGGGGGTAACTCGAAAGGACCAATTACCTGATCGTCAAGAATACTCGTCCAAATACTTATTTTAAGACGTTGTTGGAAGTGACCTTCACGAATGGTATGAGGATTTTCTTGGGCCCACGTGTGAGTATTATGGAAATTTAACATCCCGTCTCGCGTAAAAGTAAAATCCGGGTTTTCAATGTTTTTGTTCAAAAACCCCCGACAGAATGTTAGTCTGCGAGGATAGTCTTCTGGTAACAAGGCCTCGACTCGTTATACATGTTAGGGATAGAGCAAATTTTCTGTAGGATTCTATGGCCTATGGTATGCGACCTAATTCCCGA